AAAAAGTTTCGAAAATCTTTTTAATTCAAAAAATAGGTATAATAATTAACAATTTTAACAAAATTTAACAACAGATAGGATTTTAATTTTTTTTATCAATTTGGCGAGTAAACTTTACAGAAACTGTTCAAAATTACGTTCGTTGGCTTGAATGCACGCATTACATCTTCTAATCATGTTTCTTTCTGCTGCTGCGGCTTCACATAGTATTGACATGGAACGTTAGTAAAAATGTTTTAGACTGCTGATTTTTCTTGTTTGACAGATTGGTTTGACACATTGTTGTTGATAGTTTTGGTTTGTTTAACAAGTAATAACGCTTTTAAAAACTTTGAAAATGAATATGTACACTAATAGTGACTATACCGATATGTTGTTAACATTAGGGGAATGTAATGGTAATGCTAAAGCGGCGAAAAGAAGATATGCGGAAAAATTTCCAGGAAGAACTGTTCCGGATGCAAAAACATTTTTGAATTTAGAGAGAAGATGCCGTGATACTGGAACCTTTAAACCAAAAAAGGTAAATTCTGGAAGACCACGAGTGGCAAGAATTCCTCAAACAGAAGAAAATATTTTAAATGTAGTTGTTGCGGATCCTACGATAAGTGTAAGAAATGTGGCAAGGGCAAGTAACACAAGTATTTCTAGTGTACACCGTGTATTAAAAGAACAATTATTGCACCCATTTCACTACAGGCAAGTACAAGAATTATTGCCTGAAGATCTCTTTTTGAGAAGTGACTATTGCGAATTATTACAAGCAAGAAAGAGACAGAGTCCTGATTTTTTACAAAATATTCTTTTCACCGATGAATCAACTTTTACTAGACAAGGTATGTTTAATAGTCATAACAGTCACTTCTGGGCCGATGAAAATCCAAAGGTTAAACGTATAAGGCATTATCAACATAATTTTAAGTTGAATGTTTGGGCTTCTACAATAGGCAACCGCCTTGTTGCCTACCATATTTTTGATGGAAATTTAAATGGTGATGTTTACTATGAATTTTTGGATAATCGTTTATTTCCGTTATTAGAAGATTTGCCTCTTGATCTAAGAAGAAATATGTTTTTTATGCATGA